ATTTGAAGATTTGGAAAAGCACATCATCAGTTAGGCTTTCTTATCGTTTTATGGATCAAGTACATACATAAAAGAAGAACTTGGAAGATTTTCAAATGAATCCAGGCAATTTGGTTATGCTATTTAAACGAGCAAACATCTCACAGCTTTCTTCTATCATAATGGTAAACTTTAGTAATTAATATTTTTCATAAGTATATTATTTATACATTGTTATAATATATTGGTTTTCTAATTGATTACAGAAATGTACTTTTTTTTTCATTAACATATACGGTTACATTACGTATACATTAACAATTATTGTAATGCACTAATGCACTTTCCTTATGTTACAGCTAAATGTTACCCTGGAAGTCACCTCTATGCAGGGGCATTAAAATAATTACATAAAAATTAAAAGAATACCAAAAGGAGAACGTTATAATCTTAAATTTTATTGATTAGGTGGATTATTCCTTTTATACATATGCGGAACGATCGGAAAGTCATATAAACAATAAATAATAAAAGAAATTTGATAGAGGATAATGTTTCATTTCAACGGTGAATTTCGAAGGAGAAGGTACATAGATCATATATTCCGAGCTTTTACACAACAATGGACATTTCTATCGATTAATTAACAACTATTTTAATATTCTAATGCACTCTTTTTATATTTCAGATTGTTTAAACATATGTATATTAGTATAAGCATTACATACTTATTAAGATAGTTTGAATATGAAATAATTTCAATGTGATATTCTTTTCGATGAAAATTTCCCCCTCCGAAGTCACCACTGCATAAGAACGTAAAAATAAATTTAAATTAGTTTAAACAATAACATAAAAATTGAAAGAATGTTTAAATCAGAACGTTGCGATGTGATTCAGTTTTTAGTCTATATTGTCTTTATTTTACTCGTTATTTTTTAAATATTAACAAAGAACATATGTACTTAACAGAAAAATAAATTGGATAATATAATAATTATTAATTGTATATATATATATAATAATAATTAAATTATATATTTCATTAATAAATAAATTATGTGTGGTTTTCTGTGCGGTGTGCTACAGATCGCACGGATACTACATCGTCCCGTTATTTTCAGGTAATAAAAAAAATATTTTCACATACTTTGTATGTAATTTTATACAAGTAGTGAGATTAGAACAATTAATATTGCTTGAATTTATATTGATTCTTTATGATAGGATATTTTTTAAAATGTGTGAAATGCCTTCAGGAATGATTAATAGGAAATATTGTACTATAATATAATTTTTAGTATGTTTCAGTTTTACAGATTTTTTTATTTTATTTTATTTTATTCATCGTCATCCTAAGGATAGGACACCCATCCTGTAGTCATCAATGAAGACTAAAAGTAAGTATATTTTTCTATTAAACGTTTCTATGATAACTTTAATAGATTTTTATTATAGCGATGATATTAATTGTTCTATTTCTTTTTCTGTTTCAGAACATCATTGCAATAGAGCGCGTAGGCAATGAAGTACTCGTGTGTTGCATCGTTTAAATAAAATATAAAAAAGTCGGAAAGTAGAATCAGTGTTGATCGTCGTATGTTAAAGTTTCGTTTGCCGGGTAAAGAATCTCCGTAAGTTTCTTTTATTCTGTTTAAACGTGTGCTTATCGTCATCCTAAGAGTAGGATACTCATCGTGCATTCATCACTGAAGAATAAACGTAAGTCAATTTTTATTTTAAACACTTTCTTAATAATTATAATAATTTTTTCTTATAACAATGATATTCATAATTTTGTTTTTATTTCTGTTTCAGATCATCATGGGAATATTGCAGCGTTGGAAGTGTTTGTAAAGTGTTGCAAGTGTTCGTGCATTGCAATCGTGCGCGAAGCAATATACGAGAGTGTTTGATCGCTTTTAAATAAAATTAAAATCACGGATTAGAAGCACGTTCGTTCGTTAATTTCAATTCCGTCGCGTTCGCGAACTATTTTTGAAATTTATATATTAAATTAACTGCGACCAATGCAATAATTGTAGTAGAAAATTTGTACGATCAAAGTTATATTTTTATCTTTAAACAGTCGCACAGACTGTTCGCGTATTAGAGTCAGTGCATCAATGAAGATTTTTATACTTGCATTGATTGTGTGCAAAGCAGTCTTTGGATGCAGTTGTAGAGTCAGTGAACGGGCGTAAAGAAAATTAAAATCATACGCGAATTAGAAGCAGTGTTGCTCGCCGTATAACTAAATGTCGGTTTCGCGATAAGAAACTCATCTATAGTTTCTTATTTTCGTTCATAACGCGTTATTAGATTCACGCGAAATGCATTACCATGGTGCCACTGAGCTTTATCCCATTGGAATGCATTGTAAGTATTCATTTTAATTTACATTGTATTTAATTTATTTTGTATACGATTTTGTATTATATTATAAATAAATTATCGTTTTGTTCTATTTTATTTTACAGATATGACGACAGACTTTCTACCTTACCAAAGATGTGGGATTAATTCTTCGATGAATCATCGATGGATCTTCGATGGATCTTCGATAGATTTTCGATGGATCTTCGATGGATCTTCGATGGATCTTCTTCGATACCAAATCGAGGCATTCTTCGATCGTCCGACTACAATACTTGCTGCAAAGTAGGAGTGTTTTGGAGCCATCGTAGAACTTCTTACGTAGTGAGTCAAAAAATTTAAAGTCCCTCCGGTGCTCAATCAGGTACGAGTTACTGGTTGTAATTATTCCTATAAATTAGTGACGAGCACATGAGTAATTCTTTTTTAGGAGTTACTCATGTAAATTGTATATTGTATTGTATATTTTATGTTAGTTCAGAATAGGTTTTCTTGTCTCATCGGTTAAATTCATTTGATTAATAGTGCAATTAATTAATGCACTTTCTTTTTTATTACGTGTTTTGTTCGTGGTTAGTAGTGG